AACTGTTTGTTCGTTTAGCGTATTGTTGGGCGCGATCCATTCAAGCAAAATTCCAACCGGTCGACCGGGAAAAGTGGAACACCTCAAAAGGTGGACCCGTTTTTTCGAAACTTTTCCGGTTGGACCGAACCGATCCATTGAGTTTTGGACCGAAATTTCCGGAAATTTTGGTTGAATGGATCGCGCCCGTTGTTTCTTGCTTCTGGGCTTTAATGCCTGCCACAGAACAACTTCAACTTGTAGCAATATAATCATATTTAACCTAGATTTTAAAGAACTTTTCTAAATTCTAAGCTAAAACGCAAGTTCTCAAGAGAATTTTCCAAAACTTTAACTTATTTGGACTACATTTCTATTATGGTCAGTTCACCTATTGTGCAACATTCAAGCGACCACCGTTGCATAATGCGAGATGCAAATCGTCTCAGTTTAATAACGAATAGCCAAGATATATTAAGCTAACCCTGCAATTCCAGCAACCACAGAATAATGGTGCACAGCTTATAAGCTTAGTACACAGTACAAAAACTACATTTTTCCCAGCTAAACAGTGCATTGGCTAGAGATGGCGACAGATCAGAGCCGAAGGAGGTTAACATCCACGAAACTAAGCTTTTAAAAACTTACAAGTTCACATCACATCAAAATTTTACCTAAATTTTCCCCAAACAAGAAAAGGAATTCACAGTTGATGAGCATGCACCAACCGTTCGAACGACGGTCCAATGCAAAGCTTAACAACTGGTTCTTCGTTCTAAGACCTATCGTGGCGACTGGTTTGACCAGTTTGACATGTCGATCATCGATAAACAGCCTTATTTGAGGAAAAAAAATAAAATAAATTCTAAAATGTCTTACCTTTTTTAAATTGTAACCAGCTTCTAAAATAATATCCTAGACTGATGCGCGTAGTTTAAATGACCGTTTCACAAGTGTTAAACCTTTTATGTATGTAATTTCCCAGCCGCCATATTTGGCGGCTATTTCGTCAGGATTCAACAGGTCCATGCAATAGCCACGTGCATTTGACCAATCAGGATTCCTCTTATAATGTAACTCCGCTGGGATTCCGCTGGGACAATAAGACACCAATGGAGCAATTACCAATCAAATTCTTCGTAATATTGCGCACTAACAAGACGGGAAAGTTACTGGAACTTGGATTTTCCCAGGACTACAATTATATATCTTCGATCTGCTGTGAATCTACCTAAACTTTTATCNATGACCACCAAACACAATCAGCAACAAAAGTAGTTGACAAACTTGACTAAAACTGGTGCTTTTAACAATAATTTCATTCATTTATTATTTCATTCTATTTAAATATTGTAAATCCCCCCATCCCCAAATCAATGTTGTTTATAGTGAAAGAGGGTCTAAAATAAAACATCGATTTTTGGGGGAGTAGATAAGTATGTCCACTATTAAAAAAGGGGCCATTTTATTAAAGTGTCTCAACACTTGGGTCCCTCATTGTAGCCTAGTGCAGGACTTATAAGCAATATTCATGGCAGCTTTTAATCTCTATGGCCTAACAGTGACCACAAAACAGCTTAGCTAGTTTCAAATGGCATTCTTCAGAAAAACTTGCAGGGTCAGAGGGTTAAACAGACCAGGATGAAAATGTAAAGGCCACTTATGTTATCTCACTTAGTACAATTAGAAAGACATAGCAGCCTGATTACACAGAAGCACTTAGTGGCCATTACATGGCACGTCAAGGTTTCTAACATGCTCTCCCAAACAAATGCATGTTGGCCAAAACAATATTTTGTTCGTTTAGCTTATTGTTGTTTCTTGCTTCTGGGCTTTAATGCCTGCCACAGAACAACTTCAACTTGTAGCAATATAATCATATTTAACCTAGATTTTAAAGAACTTTTCTAAATTCTAAGCTAAAACGCAAGTTCTCAAGGGAATTTTCCAAAACTTTAACTTATTTGGACTACATTTCTATTATGGTCAGTTCACCTATTGTGCAACATTCAAGCGACCACCGTTGCATAATGCGAGATGCGAATCGTCTCAGTTTAATAACGAATAGCCAAGATATATTAAGCTAAACCTGCAATTCCAGCAACCACAGAATAATGGTGCACAGCTTATAAGCTTAGTGCACAGTACAAAAACTACATTTTTCCCAGCTAAACAGTGCATTGGCTAGAGATGGCGACAGATCAGAGCCGAAGGAGGTTAACATCCACGAAACTAAGCTTTTAAAAACTTACAAGTTCGCATCACATCAAAATTTTACCTAAATTTTCCCCAATAAAGAAAAGGAATTCACAGTTGATGAGCTTGCACCAACCGTTCGAACCACGGTCCAATGCAAAGCTTAACAACTGGTTCTTCGTTCTAAGACCTATCGTGGCGACTGGTTTGACCAGTTTGACATGTCGATCATCGATAAACAGCCTTATTTGAGGAAAAAAAATAAAATAAAATCTAAAATGTCTTACCTTTTTTAAATTGTAACCAGCTTCTAAAATAATATCCTAGACTGATGCGCGCAGTTTAAATGACCGTTTCACAAGTGTTAAACCTTTTGTGTATGTAATTTCCCAGCCGCCATATTTGGCGGCTATTTCGTCAGGATTCAACAGATTCATGCAATAGCCACGTGCATTTGACCAATCAGGATTCCTCTTATAATGTAACTCCGCTGGGATTCCGCTGGGACAATAAGACACCAATAGACCAATTACCAATCAAATTCTTCGTAATATTGCGCACTAACAAAACGGGAAAGTTACTGGAAGTTGGATTTTCCCAGGACTACAATTATATATCTTCGATCTGCTGTGAATCTACCTAAAATTTTATCCGATAAAGGGAATGTTTACCGGCAAAGCTAGCACGAGCTTCGTTTTTGTTTTCAAGAGTCGAAGGCATTCTTTTAATATTTAATATACAGAAGTTTTTTATGCCATAAATGCCGTCTCATTTCGTAATCATTTGGTACGACTCAAGTTTCAAGAGAAACAACGACCGGGTATTTTTAGCCTGCCGAAGCTCTCCATTTGGGGGATGGCTAGCCTGAGTCACAAGTGACAACAGGCTTTTGATTTATTACGTCTACGACACTGGCAAGTCACGCGCTGGCGGCACACGAATGGAAGTTACTTTAATGGAAGTTAGGCTCCTGGAAGCAGGGGTAGGGAGACACCCCCATCCGTCATCTCCCATCCCCGCCCCCTCGCAAACCTCCAACTCCACTATTTTTAGGAGGCTAGTTTCAGGATGCTCGGTACCCGGGGCTCGGTATCTCGCCTAAGGACAGAAATCTCAAGTTTTGTTCTCACTTAGGCAGGAGCCCATTGCTCCTAACTTAGATCAGAGTAAATTCCCGTTTTATACAGTCGCACTCCCGGTAACTCGAACCCTCAACCCTGAGTCAACCCTCTATGCTCTATAACTCGAACCTCCAGTCTAGCGAAGCAATTTTCCATTTAGATCATGTTCTATATAGTTTACCCTCGATAACTCGAACTTTTTTCTATCTCCCATGATGTTCGAATTATCGGGAGTCGACTGTATTCCCCTTCAGAAGTGATTTCTTCAACGGCGGAGGACAGTATCGAGCCGTGTGTCAGATAAATGGAATAGCCCATACTCACCCTTAAAGTGCATTATGAAATGAGCAAGGAACAACGAAACAGCGTCCTATGTTATCACTACCGATATGAGTCACGGATTGAGAAATACATTCACAAATATTTTAAGGTTACAAAAAATTCAGGGACAAAACTTGTAACCCACCTTTTTCTCCTAAATTCACACACAAACGTCTGGAACAAGTTTGTTATACGTTATTGTATAAGACGTGGACGAGGGTCAGAAGCGGGTTTTTGCTACTTTTATTGATGCGTTTCGGAATTCTCTTATTCAGGACAGTACGCACGTAAAACACATTTGCCACGTGTGCTATTTCACGGTCAGGAGTCTGTCATTTCACCTACCGAGAGTATTATAAGTAAGAACGAGCAAGAAAATTTACAGTTTTTTCCAGCACAAGGAACTGCAAGCAAGTAAACCATGATCGTGAACAATCTGAAGAGCAAACAAAAATCTGTTATAGTCGGCTATAAAAAGAGAAGACTTTCGCTTAGGGCCGTTTTTGCAATTTTGGATTACAGGTCAGGAAATGCAAAGGTCAGGCCTCACTTGTTCAAACGTTGGATACCGCACTCTACCGGATAAATCACTATCCAGGAGATTAGTATCAGGGAAACCAATTGTGCTATCCACTGAGCAGAGATTTTTTGGCGCTATTATGCTACATATACTTTTAATAAGCCACGTGAGTTGCGTTAGACAATGGTGAAAGTCACGCACTTGCCGCATCCGGCTCATCGCAGTTGTTGCTGGGATACAAAATGGCGTATCGTCAAACAAAAAAGAGAGAGTATTATCTTTACCTTTTAGAGGTGTAAAGCCATGAAAACGAACGGCAATGTAGTGAGGCGAGGACAAGAACTACATAAAAGGTCAGTCTTCACAATAAATGACAGTTAAAGGATACAACTTTCAAATACATTCACTACTGAGTGGCTCCCGAGGGTCAACACGATTCATTGATTCTTCAAATGTTTGTGACCAGCTTCACTATTCGATCATCTCCAGCCTGTTGACTGCTTTCCAAGTGTCAGTGATTTAAGATGTTTTATTCGGATTTTAAGGAAAGCAAACAGAGCTTGTTCATTATATAAAATTTATGTAAGACCCACTCTAATAATCAATTCATTATTTCGTGACCATCGGTTGACATGCTTTAAATATGACAGGTTATATCAAGTTGCCTTGTACGCTGTGGGTACCTATTCCTGATGTTCTTCCGCATTTTTGCTTTTTAAAAGTGTCAAGTTTCCTAAAATTTTAAGGAAGTCTAATTATCGACCTCTGGCTTACGACCAAAATTCACCATCGTGCGCTCGCGCGCGCCGGAGGCGAATTTCAGATGATTCAGAGAAAACCACAAGTGTTTAAAATAGATTAAACTTTATTAAGAAAGGGCCCTCCAGTGCAAAATACTTGGGCACACACATCAAAGGCCATATTGCGCTGTTAGTTTTTGCGACAAGCAGGAAGATGACGTGTAAACAAAACCCCAATGTCACTGTAATGTTATCCTGTGAGCATCAACAGTGATGGGCAGAGTGATGTAGAATTCAGGACGGCGTTTGATAACACAGGTCTCTTCACGGCCCGTTAGCCCTTAAGATCGAAAACAAAACAAGTATGGAAATTAAATGCTATGTATGTTCTTGAATTATGCTCCAGACGTCACTTCTTTGGACCCATATGTGATAAATTCTTTTGACAAGTTGAGACAGAGATCATGGCAAATGATGGTGGTGAGAAATATTACGAAGACTATATTCTCAGGAAGGAGGGACGAAGCAAAGTAAGTGGACAAGAAGTACTGAAATAAGGTTACACATAAAGCGTTAGCAGAATCTTCATTGAAAGCTTATCATTATTAGTTAATCTAGTATGCATAACATTTACTTTTTCCTTGCAATGCATGTGAAATCATTTTCCATTAGCTTGCAATTAAGCAAAGTAGTCACTGAAAATCTTTTCTCACCTCTAAAGCACATTTCAGATACCAAACTTTTCATGAGCCAAACCTTATTTGAATTAAAGCCAACCCAAATTATTGATTTAGACGCTGATCTTAATTGCAACTGAACTAAGTTCAAAAAGCGGAAAATGCTCATTTCCATCAAACTGCTTACAAAATACGTTTTAATAATTTATGCATTAGTTTTTCGGTACTTGAAAAGTTTGGCATCTGAATCAAAGCCATTCCAAAGTCGCTCCAAAGGTGAAATTCCCCGCCAGGCTAGGCAAAAAGAACAGCTGAGCCGTTCAATTCAATTCAATTCAATTCCTTATTTCACACTATAAAAGATATTTACATAAGTGTACGTAGATAGGAAAATAAAGTGGCTGACAAATAATAATAATTAACTAAAAGACATTAAGTTCATTTGTGTACAGTGTCCAAAGTAGCAAGAGCTTTCTTGTTGGACACCGTCATGTTGAAATAAAAATTGAAACAGACGTTCCTAATTGATTCAGACGCTGACCTTTTCATGAACTTAATTCAATGTATTAGCTTCGGCTCATGAAAAGTTTGGCGTCTGCACCGGGCCTAACTAATGAATGAAAAATTAATGAGGTGTTAAATGTGGCTTAAGCTTAATGTGTTAATCTTTTTTAAAAACTATACAGTGAGTTTTTTATTAGCCAAGACAAGAAAAACTAAATATCTAAAAAAACATAATAATTCTTTAAAGTTTATTCTGAAGGAGGATTTTTTTTATCACAACTGGTATTATGTTAATTACTAGTTTATTTTGTAAATGAAAGACTTGTACTGTTATTAATATATAATTCAAGGGGAACAGCCTTTAAAAGAAAATTATTGTTCAGCTTTCAAATATCTAACTTTAGTAAACATTCACCAATGCGATGATGCCTGAAAATGTGTACAACACTACAATAATGTTTTGGCTCCAAAACAGCCTAATGAGTTTTTTTGCTTAGGTGGAAAAGGTCATTAAGTTTTTCTCACTTTGTTGACCACAATGAAATCCTGATGTTTGCCAAATTTTATCGTTCAGATTGCATCCTGGAGTACTTAAATTTTCAAAATTTCCTGGGGGAACATGCGCCTGGACCCCCTAGTTTCTTATGTCTTCGGCACTCATTATTGGCACTATCACGCCGATATTACACATATTCCCAGTTATGCCCCACCAAGGAAAAATTCCCGGTGCCACCCCTGCTTTTTCGGCTCTTGTTTCACCCGGCAAGAAAAGAGTGCTTGCGACCCCAAGCTGAGAAACAATTTCCTTGGTGTCAGTATTTTTCGGTCAATCATGATTCAGCCTCTTATATTTTTGTCGAGCTAAGGCGCGTGGGGATCTCGGGTGCACTGGCCGACAGTGACAATGAGCAAGTTTTTTTTAAAATTAGAGGGAGTAATAAATATTATTATAACCACAACAATAAAGGTGAAAATAACAATTTGCGAAAATAGCTGTGAAACTTGAACACGAAATTTTAATCACCGTGATGCATTATTTTTACTTTTTAAAGTCCATGATACGTGCGTAGGACCCCCCCCCCCCCCCGCCCCCCCTCCTTTTTTTCACAACCGGAATTGCTCTTTCTTATCTTTTTCATAAGCAAAAAAAAAAAATTCTATATAAAAATAAATAAATAAAAAATTCCAAAAACCCTCAAAATTCAAGTTTTTTTTTTCTATTACTAGTGCACTCTAATCAAGTACAATTCTCTCTTAGGTGAAATGTCGGACAGGGACAATAGGAAAGTTTTTTTTAAAATTGGAAGGGGTAAAAAAATTTTTTATAACAAAAACAATAAAGGTGAAAAAAAAAAGTTGCGAAAATAGCTGTGAAACTTGAAACCGAAATTTTAATCCCCGGGATGCATTTTTTTTCCTTTTTAAAGTCCATGTTACGGGCGTAGGCCCCCCCCCCCCCTTTCCCCCCTCTTTGTAGTTGACCAAAGTTTAACATTTGTCACTTCATTTGTAAAGCCTAAAAAATTACACTGCATATAAAATTATATGTAATTCACATCTCCCTGGCAACAATGTGTATACTTTCTTTCAGTAATAAAACTGGTGACCAGACCTCTGAGTTCTTTAATAAAATCTTGTAGTAAAAAAGGGGAGCTATAAGGGGGATTCTAAACAAAAAGCGCAATGTAAAAAAACTAAAGTTGTGGAATCATTAAGCCAAATAATTTTGTTTCATGATTTTTTTTAGATAGTGCTAATTAATTTTTGTGCAAAGTCAGTGTTGTAAGAAAATATTATAGAAATTTGTGTCAGTATGAAAAACAGGCTTAAAGATAGAAAAGTTAATTAACACATCATTATTTGTTAGACCAGCTGTTACCCCAACATAAAAACAGCTCATGCCACTGAATATTCTAATCATATCTTGTCTCCTTAAAATATACCTGATTATATTAAAATGCTTGCTTATTTTAGCTAGTAAATAATAATATTTAATACTTTATTACTTTATTGTTAAGTACTTAGGGTGTTTGCTCAATTTTTATGTGTCCCTAATATCTTGCATTTAATAATATTCATATAAAGCAGAAAAAATACCCTATACATGTTTGTACATGTGGAATCCCAATTTTAAGAACCTCCAGGGTTTTTTCTATCAAATTATCAGGGGTGCCATGCAGCTCTTTACAAGGCCTCACAGTATTGGCTGTGAAAACAATAGACATAGAAATATAATCATTTGAGTGAATGACTCTATCCTTAAAACAATGGAGCTCCGTGTTATGGAGAACCAATGAAATTAGAGGTTTTTAAGAGCTGTGTACTAACTGAATTATCAGGGGGTTTGTGAAAATCCAGGCTCAAGACATCAAGTTTCTGTTCATGTCTTAATAATATACACAAAAAAATTACTCAAGTCTGAGTGGCTGAGAAAGGAGTGCAGTTCTGTAACAAGAGTGCAAACTTGTAACACGAGTGCAAATTACAAATGGTTTCTGATTGGCTGAAAACACAAAAGAAACCACCAAGAACCAATCAGATCTTAGCTGTTTTAACAACAAAATTTAAGAAAATTTAAATATCGTGTTCAAACTAAACCAATGGGTGAAAATACCATAGTATCCGTAGCTGGTACTAGCCTTAAAGAAAGTGAATAAAAAGTTTACGAATCGTAGCTCCACAAAAAACAACAGTCAGCAAGCTAAAGAAAGCAAAGATTGTAGAATATAACCCCAAATGTCACAGGCCACAGAGGTATAAATTTCCTCAACCACTACGATGAAACCGACAAAGAAGAGCGACGATGACTCTCTCTTGCAATAGGCCAAGGCCAAAATTAATGAAATAATGAGAACCTGCCCAGCTCTGAGAAAATGCAAATATTATATTTAATTAATACTGACAGTTTCCCTCCTCACAACAACTGTGGCTCCACTAACCCATCGATGGCAGCGTCGAAAGAAAACAAATTGCTTCCTTCAATTTTGGGTTGTAAATCTCAAATTGAAAAATTTCTCCATGAATCCAGCTGTGATGAGGTCTCAGGAACAGACAATGACGAACAGTAGTTAAACAACTCTGATCAGCAAGTGTCTTTTATCTTTGGCTGCTCGAAGCATTCTCCTGATTTCAAAATGGCAGTATACTTCTTGTAAACGCTTCTTGTAAACGCCGAGCTCTCATAATCAAGGATGAATTTAAAAACACTTACTTTTACTGATTATAACTGTAAACCGAGTTATTTTTAACAGGCTGGTGACCATGTAAAATCAATCCTTGCACATTTCCAAGTTCTTAGTTGAATGATTTTGAAAGTGTTGGTCTTGAAAAAGTTTGAATTTGTCAATAAGGTAGTAGTATGTTTCAGCCAATCGGTTGAATTAACTAAAATATTGTGCGCTGTCAAAATTTGTCGTTGTAGTTATGTTTTTTGTGTATATTATTAATACAAATAAAAGTGCACTGACGCCCCCCGGGCTTGTACACTTTTGTTGGTCTTTGAAAAATTTACTTGTGCTTATTTATTCCAAATTGCACTTGAAATCATGTGATCACCTAGTATACTCAACAAGGCTTATGATATTTTGCAAGGTCACGGAGCCGCGAAATTCAGGTAAATCCGTAAAACCCTGCGCAATTCACAAAAACATGCAAAATATCGTAAAATTCACTAGAAGGTTTGTCAAATACATGTCAATACAACATATTTAAAACTTATCTCAGCTATGGGGGCTTTTTAATTGCCATTTAACTTGCAAATTTATCTTGGAACTTCATCACCACGATGAGCCAACAATGTCCCAAAACTACCAGGTGTAAATTATGTTGTGAAAACCTGGGCACTAGTCATGATGTTAAAAGCTTTGCCATCTTGGCTCAAAAAAATTCTCGAGCACTTTGTCGTGAAGAAAATTTCCACAAAATCAGCTGTTTTTTACCAATTGTTTTTTGGCGAAGTTAAATAGCCCCGAAAATTTTGCGAAATCAGCCAATTTTTCCATGAATCTGTCTCCTGAGAAACTGGCCTCTTTTTTTCTATCAGAAGCCCTGCACTAACAAAGTTTGCCATTATTAAAATTTTATAAATTTGTACTGACCATGAATGAGTGAAATTGTGGTTGTAATTTAGAAAAGAAATTGTGACAGACTACCATCAACTCGATCAATTTTTAACTGATTTCTACCTTCGGTATAGCCTGTGAGCAGGCTCACTTGTCGTGGCTTCTGACAGGTCGTGGAAGAAAAAGTCAAATTTCGCAGGATTTTTACGGACAAATTCGAGGAAAAATCGGCCGATTTGTGGTAATTTCAGCGGAGTTTTTGGGGCAAACTTCACCAAAAAGCAATTGGTAAAAAACAGCCGATTTTGTGGTTATTTTCAAGGCAAATTTCGCCAGGAATCAATCGGCTTTGCCCTGATCAGACCAGCGTTTTTAACGTTTTTCTAACAGAGGTCACCATTTGCTCTTTCAACAACAACACACTCCAGAAATGAAGTGCCTGTTAGTTTCAGGATGTTGTTTCACGTTTCAGGGGTGACGAAGTTCTGAGATATATGTGCAAGTTTACGGCAAGTAAATAGCCCCAATAGCTGAAAGTTTCAAATATGTTTTTGGTGACATGCCAGGTGGCGGCCATTCTTAATGGCACTAGAAGTTCGGAGCTTTTTTATTTACCACAATGCAGGACTAATAAAAGAAAGTTCTCCATCAGTTTCCAGGTGGCTTCTTTTGGGCTTCCTCGCCATGAGAGTTTAAATGATTAGATTTTTTTTTGCTATATACAACTTAGGCAAACAAAACAATAAACAATAAATAATATTTGATAAGATTTCTACCGAATTTCCCGGTATTAATTTAATGTTTTTGTAAATTTCGCAGGATTTACCTGAATTTTGCGGCTCCACAACCGCACCAAATATCAGAAGCCCTGACTTGTGCAAGTTCGGGGAACTTTTTTGGCAGCAGAGCTGCCACCCGGCGAGGAGAAAAGGCCGAGGGTGCCCGAGACAAAAATGTGGCTTGCATACAGGCTTGCTTTTCCTTGGCCCATTCTCCTTGCCAAATGGCATCTCTGCCGCCAAAAATTTTCCCTGAACACACACAAGTGAGCCTGCTTGCAGGCTACCTCTGGTATTTTACATTTGTGTAATAATCATTGATCATTATAGTAGCATCAACATAGAACCTGCTAATTATTATAACTCTTAGAGGTTTTTCTGTCGTTTATTTTCAGTGGATACAGTACTGGGTTGTAATAAGAGGAGTATGGATGCTGTTTTACTCAGAAAGAGCAACAACTAACAGAGATAATGTAAGAATAAGTTGTTGCATCATATTATACACTAATTAATGCCAGATCCTGAGGGAAACAGTTGGTTTTGTTTTCCCATGTCAGTCCTGATTCGTCTCCGGAAACATCAGGACTCGTGGGAAAAGAAAACTAATCGGTTTCCCAATTCAAGGGACCTGACATTAAGTGTTTTGTTATATTTCTAGACTTTCACTTCAATAGCAACAAGAAAAATAACCAGAGCAAACCAAAACAGTCGATTGGATACTCATAACAACAGAAAATTAAATTCTCAAAACCACTGAATAACTGATTTACCAAGTACTTTCCTTATATTATCTGCATCTTTTTCCTCCACTATATACTAGCTGCTGTTTCTCTTCTGGGATAACTTGAAAAATTGTTGCTTTTTAGCTTGAAGCTGGCAGTGGTTTTCCTGCCTTCTCTCACGCCACTTTCCATCATGCTTTGACCACATGCTGTAATGTATCCCGAGCAGGGTACATTGCTTTAATGTATCACGATTGGGACTTAATGTATCACGATCGGGATACATTTGATTTTAGTCAAGGCCACATGACAAAGAATCAACCAATGGCAGTCCGGTGTTTAGTTGAGTGAAAGCTGTCTAGGAATATAACAACATGCATTCATATTCTTCTTAATCCACACTGTGATCATTAGACATTGCATATATGAAGATTGGAGAATTCTCTGTTTACTACGCTGAATTCTCCAGCTAATGTTCAATAGATTACGACTATTTTTTACTCAGATGTAGGCTTCTTTCAAAATTTTCTCCTGTAATGTGACACCTTTCTCCTGCTTCTAGAATTATTGTTAATGAAAACCCTGTTTAACCCTCTCTGGCTGCTGGGGTTAATGCCTTCTGATCTACATGTAGATCCACATCACTACTTGACAGAGATTAATAATAAAACTGTTGCTTGGGTACCTTTTTCAGGCTTTAGGTTTATGAAATGGTAGGAGTTTAATTGTTAAATTTGATGAAAGGGCAGGGAAATCTGTCATTTCAATTGGTTAAAAGACCCAAAAGGACTAACAGATCTATGCAATTTATGGCTGTGAAAAAGTTGAGAAAATTTTGTGGTTTTGTGATTTATTCATATTTTAAAGACTGCATTTGAAGTAGTTAAAAGAGATCATGCAAAATTCTAAACTAGGGGCCCAATCCATTCAACCAAAATTCTGACTGGTCCGACCGGGAAACTGGTCCACCTCAAAAGGTGGACCACTTTTTTCGACACTTTTCTGGTTGGATGGAACCGATCCATTGAGTTTTGGACCGAAATTTCTGGAAATTTTGGTTGAATGGATTGCACCTTTAAGGTATGCAAAAGGGGTATATTTGTCAATAGAAGGTATATGAAAGGGGTACCTGTCTATCAAAAAATTAATGGTATTTAAATTTGGTAAGGGGTTGGACATCGGGGCAAAGCCTCCCCACTGGTTGAGTTCCCCAGCACGCAAATTTATTATGTGAGAATATGTGAGAGAATATTTGAAAGCCAGGGTAATAAATTACATTCAGAACTCTCCCTTTTTTTTCAGTTTAGAGGATCTATTGAGTTATCATCCAATACTAAATGTAATATAGTAAGAAGAGGAACCTACAGCTTTCCTTTCTACCTCAGCACTGAACGAGGAACTCATCTGTTTAAGGTACATGTAAATTTATTGGCAAATTTATTCTTATAAATTTACAACAACAAATTTACAAAAAATTTACACCAACATGTACATTGTGTAAATTTATTTCCACAAGAAATTTTGTACATTTACATGTACTGAATGGCTTTTCAGCCAGTGTCAACAGTATGCCATAGTAACTGTGTTTTTATTGTGTTTAAGATACGTCAATACATTGTACATATTCAGCCATTTCAATCACATGAAATCAGTGGAGTCCTATATACTTTTATCTGAATGTGTGGGATTTCTATTTTACCCTTATCGTGTCAAAAATACTTGAAAGTGTATTTGCTCACAAATTAATTAAACTAGTTCTTATACAGTGTAATGCGAATTTGTCCTAATATGCAAACACAGTAGATGAGATGTATTATAATTCAAGTATTGTTCCTACATGTATGTTATTTTTTAGCATGCCCCCTACATCTATCATTTTCCTAGCTGTGCCTCAGCCACTAGAGTCAAGAACTGTACCAGTGTGTAAAGAAAAATTTTGCAAACAGGCTGGTGAAATTTGGTCTTACTTGCCCAATGGGCAAGTGATTTTGTTTCGCAGGGAGAATTCAGATTTTAATACAGAAGAACTGTAATCAATGCTGCTCAGTCACATTTTTTATGGGCAAGTTGAAATGATTTTTGGGCTTGTACATGCTAGCTACAGCTTGCTCAAAGGACAAGCTATAAAGCTCACTTTCCTTGCACCTATACTATTCAAAAATACTTAACACAGAGTCCTTAAGTAATGCAATATATTCTGCAGAGGGAGTGGTACAGTGTAGCCTAAATTATAAGTGTAAATCCCGAGTAGTGCAAAACACAAGTGTTTACTTTTATTTAGGAGTATGTTGCATCAAGATGTATTACATTTTTTTTCAGTGTGAGACTAACTTGAAGCGGCACCAATGGATGTACCTTATAGAACTAGCATCAAAGGTAACAGCTGTCTAATCATTTGTTTATTATTTAGGATAAGTGGAATATTTTGAAGAAATAGGATCATACGATGTCTGATATTACCTAGAAGTCAGTGCCGTTTATGCGATAAAAATTTATGTCTTTGGTATAATAGATGTTTGTCAGTAGCTTAAATAATGGCGCATTGTTTCATGATGTTTCATAAAGTTTGAATATCTATTCCAATTCAAGTTTTTTGTCAAAATTACTTGGGCCACTAAACTCAGAAAAATTAGTGGTGTATATACATTGTACTACTGGGAAAACAGGGCCAATTAGCTAGGGAACACTAGACCAATATTTGGGTATATACAGCTGTAGGTGAGCTGCTGAGGGTTTGAAACCCTGACCCTATTTAGGACAAAAAGATCCTTATAAAATACAAACCCTGTTTAGGACAAAATGCACACCATCTTGTCTTAAATCCATCATTTATTTGCAGTTACAGTAGAGCAAATTTACATTATAGTCATTTAATAATACTTTTGTATACTAGATTACAAACAAATTTCATCATGCAAGCAAAGCAAATCAGTCGTGCAGGCAATGCCCTGTTTATATTTAATAACATATTCACTTCTATGATGCAAATTCAACTCAAAGTTTTCTAATGCGCTTTATATTCAATTTCTCAAAAGAAAACTATATAAAAGTATAAAATTAGTTAAAAATAAAATACTTACAGTCAATGATGGTTACACACACATAATTCTACGTACAGACTACGTGAATTAAATGGTTAAAAACTAAAATTACATAGTAAGTTCCATACAGTTAAAATAGTGATTAGGTATTCGAAATTACTCTCTATCTATTACTATCTAATAAATAGGTTAGTTAAAATATTAAAGCTTTCTTGAAAAGATACAACAAAATGTATGTTTTAAGCTTTGCCTTAAAAGTGCCTGATTCCATGTTCCTCTCGCGGAGGACAGGCTCACACAAAATTATAGACCCTTTTTAGGACAGACTTGTGCGAAATTATCTGCACTGTTTAGGACAAAGAGGACGAAAACCATACCCTGTCCAGCGGCACATCCCCATATAGGCCGTATACAGGGGTACACTACAGGGCCTGGGTACCAATTTGCTGTTTATAAATTTTAATTTGAAACTTTAGGATTGTTTGAAACTTTTCACAGCCAGAAAAGTTGTAGATTGTAAGTTTGCTGAGTTCCAGGGGAGTAATCCCTTGTAAGTAGACTACTGTGTCCCACCAAGTCATCCAGAGGGGAGGGGGTACATGAAACAGGTCCCCACACAAATGTGTACTAATTAGTAACCTCTGACAAAGAAAAAAAATCTGGCTCTAGTTCGGTGTTCAAATACCCTGTTGTGAGCATCAGTTTCTCCAGGCCTGATGCTACACTACAAAGTGAGAGAAACAATTGCGAGCGACTGTCTGCTTTCTTGATTGAGCCACCATCCAGTGGCATGGACGAATAAATCAACTTTGAACATGAAGGTAAAACCTTCTTAAAAACAAGTTAAGGCTCTCCGGCATTATTTTGCTTATGCTTATAACTGCTGCCTTAATGCGAGCCTGCAGTATCCGGTCTTCCTGTTTTCCCATAGGGACTATTTCACGTAGGCATCACATAGACGCACATGCTTGATGGAAAAGCAAACAGTCGCTCACAGTGGTTTCTCTCCCTTCGTAGTGTAGCATCCGGCCCGGAGAAACTACTGCTCGCTACAGGTGCTGTATGTAGTGTTTTAAGATGGGTAGGACTATCCAAAGGATAAATCTCTAAGGCTACCCTAAATCCACTTTTTTGAGCAATGAAGTCGTGAAGATCAATGGCAAGGTTACTGTTTTCCATCCTAACTGATGACCCAACTAAAACAGACTTATCTTTTTCCAATTGATAATGCAATAATAATGGTTTCCCTCACACATATTGGCTGGATGATAACTATTTATCCAGTGGATAGTACTATCCAACTTTTGAACAACTGGAGTCAGCATATACACAGCGTGAAAGTGAATACGAATAGTGTTGTTACTGGATGTGACTATTTTAGGGGTCGCCTCCTGTGCCTGCTCCCCTGGCTGTTCCCCACACACCATCTCAACACATCACAAAGGATTCAATCCCAAATGATGGCCTACAAGGAGATAACACAGAATCAGACAAAGTGGACTTAGCGCAAGATGAGGATGACATCTCTATACCTCCTGGTGTTATTCTAGTTACAACACCCATAGATGACTTGTCACAAATTGAAGAATTGTCAAACAACCACATGTACAGTAACACAACAGCAGAAAGGGCAGGACCAGGTATGGTCTTTCAGTCACTTCTTTGACAATATGCTTGACCCTTTGGGGATTATTCATTTTCACAGGTAGCAATGGAGACGCTCAGGTCATAACTTTCTCATTTTGAAGGAGTAAGCTAGGGTAGTGGTTGGAAAAGTTAAATCTAATCCTTTGACCCGCCTTATAAAGTAGCTCAAGCAAGACCCTTATATTATTAAGTCAGCTACCAGTGCTCTAAATAAAGTGTCTAACCAGGAAAATCAATGTTTCATTTTACTAATAATACTATTATTAGATAACTGTTGCATCCAGCACCAGCTTAGGTACAATCTTGGGCAAAAAGTGTAAAGAATGTTGCTCTTTCTTACCCACAGAGTGCCTATCCCGTGGATTTGATACCACAATGGCCCCTCCCCTTACCTCACCCCGGTCAAAGTTGTTTAGTCGGGATCAGAAATGATCCAGCCGGACTTCAACATTGTTTTTGTGGAGGGAAGTGGGAGTATTTGTAGTTGCCAGTGCTTTCAAGAGCTTTATCTTGAAACTAGACATGGTTGGACAAAAATGTTGCGAAAAATAAACGTTAGACTGTGGTCTCCCATGCCTCAGGAAGGAAGAAATGCGTGACAAAGCCCTAAGAATATCTGCCTGGTAGGCTACAACTAACTGTGTAGAAGTCAGGGTGGTCTAAATTTTGCTTATAATATACCCACACTTAAGCAATTTTATCACCACGTCAATTGATAATAATTAATCAGGGAGGTTCTGACTTAAGATTCTGTAGGCATTTCTATATTCTAAAACAGTGGATAGTGTTTTTCGCGCGCTCTGATTGGCTACTTAACCTCCGGATATCCAGTGCTATTCACTGATTCACCTCCAATTTCGCCGAGCGAGCGACGCCAAACTCGCGCAAGTTACAAGCGAAATGGCTTCCCGGTTTGCTGCCGTAACAAACAAAGAAATTTCACAAATAGTCGAACAAGCTGTTCCCAAAATACACGAAGAAGGTGACGAAATTCGGTTTGGAAGTTTTAACAGGTGCAGCTTTGTCTGTTTGCCTTGAATTTATCGATGAAACCAGTGGAAAATTTTTTTGTTTACGAATGTAAATTAAGCTTAAGCTTAAGTCTTGCGTTACTTTTTTTTTAGCTGACATGTTCATAAATAAGCTTAAAACTAAATTTAATAGTTTTATTCACAACTACTTTTGAAGAAATCTCCCCAAAAGAGATCAACAAATGCCTTCAAAAGTTTTATTTGACGGCAAGAAAACGCGACAGCTGTTTGGTCATTGCGCGCCAAAATTGTAATCGTTGGCAACAGTAAATGAGTTAAAAATCGTCATTTTTGTGCTCAATTATCTCACTGTTTTAGTATATACTAAAACAATTATTCACCTCAGTGTCGCTTCGCGGCTCGGTAGCCACCTCCACTTCGGTTAATAATTGTTATATATATAAAAAGAAACTCATAGCAAAGGTTACAAGTTTATACTTTCTGATCCATCTTATTTGTTTTTCTTCTTTCAGTGCCACCACTCCTTGGTAGGGCTGTACTTTCAACTGGGATCACAGGGACAACAATGGGTAAGCTCCATTCAGTCTTTAGCTCTTTTGAGTGGCTCTATCCTGTAATGATTCATAAAATGAAAGGGAAATTAGATTCAGAGCTCTCTTTATCCTTTCTTTGGTTTGTTTGTTTGTTTTTCAGTAGTCCAAAAGCCAAGTTCATTGTCTTCATCAACAAAGTCTCCTTCACCTAAAGTTAGTGGCTCATTCCAGCTCACAAGAAGTAAGTGACCATACTGTGCCAGGTTTTTCCCTTTAAGTCCATTCTCTATCTACTCCAAACTCTTCATGGATAAAATACTTTAGGTTCACAGCGACCTAGAATAGGCATTGTGGCATATCAGAATGTAAGAACCTGGGAGAATGTAGTGTTAGATGTGGTGTCTGCTTATGGCGAGTGTAAAACCCGAAGTCAATTCACGAAAAATTGTCCCAAGTAGAAGTTACAACTAAAACAGTGTGGTTATTGTTTTGAGACTCTGAATAGGCTGAGTACTTGTAAATTACACTTAAAACAGTTGTGATGAATTGATCCCTGGATTTCCTGCCTGCCTTAAAAACTCTCCTTTTTTAGGTCAGACCCCTTTCTTATTCGTGTGATGAGAAGCGTATTTTTCTTACGCATTTACTTGTTTAAAGCCTTACAGTCACATCTGGTAAAACATACCCTAAAAGATTGTATTATTGAACAATCAGTCTTTTACACTGTAGATTGTGCCTCTACTAGTGTCAAATTTAACTACTTCCATGTATCATTATCTGGCATATACATTTATAGCAGTTAATGTTAGAACACAACTTCTCGGTCAGATTAGAAAACTGTTTTGAAATAAACTTGAAATATATGTAATAGCTACGAAGACATTTATATCGCATATTTATTTTATTCGTTCCAACGTCAGATTTGCACTTTTGACATATTCACAGGTAGCCTTCGACGCCTTTGACTGCCCTGCGTGTAGATTTTTGGCCAATTAAGCAAGCAGGAATCTAAAAATGGATCGAAAATCGGCAGTAATTATGATACAATTTCCAAATAGTCAAATCTATCGACAATATAATCTGTGGGGTCACGCTTGGCTTCAACTGGTATGACTGCATGCTGTTTCCTGCAAGTAAGAACATGAATCACGGATTTAACTTATTCACCATGTTCACGCTGCCAATCGCACTCGCAAAACCCTGACATATATACATAAACATTGAGATTACCTGATTTGTAAAGTTATGGCTTAACTGTTTTAAAAGTACGTCTTTTTTAAAAATAAATCCCTGATGAGAGGTTCTATTATTCTAGCATCTTCTTGAGTCGATAGAGTCCTGTTAATTTTTTAAATCAAGTAGTTATTAAGTTTAAATTTCTTTATTTTTGTTTTCAGGTGAGTTGTCAAAGAACCGGAAGTCTTCTCATCCAGCCTCTTTTTCTGGCGAACTTAGTCCCCAGTCTTCCAGTTTTGGGGGTCGAAGCAATTCTGAAAGGCCCTGTAGTAGTCCCAGTCCTACTCAGTTAGAACGGAAGCACGCTGGCCGGAAATTGACTCCAACAACTGCATCACGGGGTAATGTCAGATTTTCAAGACATATGGCCATGTCTGCTCCAGATATCCAAATATTAACAGTTGAAGACTAAACTTTAAAAAAATGAATTTGACGATTAAAAATCGTTGTGGTGTGGTCTTAGAGCTCCCTTTGGCCTCCTCGTTTTCATCCTTCTATTGAATCTAAGGCCCACTCACACTAGTTTGTTTTCGTTTGTCAACGACATTAATAAATTACGAGAAGAGTCATCAACGTAAAGATGTTAAAATTTCTTGTCACAAAGTGGTAAGTTCAAAGTCACCCAAAACGAGACTAGTCACTGTATTACACGTGGTGAACGATATTCCAAAAATTTCTTGTCACAAAGTGGTAAGTTCAAGGTCACCCAAAACGAGACTAGTCACTGTATTACACGTGGTGAACGATATTCCAGGACGACTTGTTAACATGTAAATAGTTAAAACATTATTAGAATTGTACGCCATTTTGTTCAAAATGATAATAAAGTTAAAACATACTTTCGCACTCACTCCGGTGCTGTCGTTCTATCTGTTTTGAGTTTGTTAGTTTTACTTAACCTGCAACAGGCCGCAAACGCAAACGCGATGTA